TAAGATTTACCAGTATTTTTTTTAAAGAAAACATATACACTGTTTAAGTATATTATTTAAAAAAAAAATAATACACTGTTTGTTTGTAATATGTTTTTTCTTCTTCAAAGAATTACCTTAAAATAAATAATAATAAGTCAGATAAATAGAAGTAAGATTAAAAAATCATTGAATTTGAGGTTTCATACCTGAGGTCGAAGATGTGTGGTTTAATGCCCTAACCGACATTGATCAGATTGATACTAACATCAGCTAAACGCCCTTTCCAGACAATGTAACAAAATACTGATGGGACCATTACAAAACACAGGGACTGAGGACTACACATCATTTAGAGGGATGGCAATTCAAGCTGAAGAAATATGTTCAACACCCACATCCAAACATCTTTAAACTACTGAAACATGAGGAAGCTATGCCCTGACCATGATCCAGTATGCAGCCGGTGGGCAGAGAGAGTGGCCCAAAAACCAAAGTATGTCGAAATCAACAACAGATTAGAAATCTTATGGATAGATACCGCAACCAGGAAGTCACAACAGTACCTTAATCACTTGAATAGATTAATAAACTTTAATAGACTTATATACATTGAATTTTTAAGGTGTGTGCTATAATGTTTGATTTGTTTTAACGCTGTTGAATTTTTCAAGAACAGGTACGTAGCTTTATGAGTGCTAAGAAAATTTTAGTTCGAAAAGCAAATAAAGCAATGTATGAAGTATTGAAAAAGGGGAGGTTGCACAACTTGTCATTGAAAACTCAATATGATCTCTTTGATAAAATTGTGAAGCTAATCCTACTATATGGATGTGAGATCTGGGGTTTCAGTGATACTGATATTATAGAAAGAGTGCATTTAAAATTTTGTAAATTATTATTAAATCTTAAGAAGTCGACACCTAATTTTATGATTTATGGTGAACTTGGTATTTATCCCATGTCTTTATATATACAGCTGCATATGGTTAATTTTTGGTCAAAAATGGTAAATGGGGAGGATAACAGGATTCCTATAATATTATACAGATACATGTTCTCGAAGAATTCTGAAAACCAATTTAGGTCAGATTGGTTGAAATACATTAAAGATACATTAGATAGATGTGGATATAGCAATATATGGTTATCACAAGGAAATTTTAATTCTATATGGTTGGGTATTAGTTTAAAATACTATTTAATCAGTTTCAACAGAAATGTAGAGCAGATATTGACTATTCATCAAAAGGTTTGGCCTACAAATTGTTTAAACAAAAATTTGAATATGAAGAATATCTGAATGTTTTAAGTGATAAAGATAGAATAACATATTGCAGATTTAGAACGGGAAACCACAAGTTACCCATCGAAACTGGTAGATGGAATAAAATTGAACGTAACTATAGATATTGTAATTTATGTCAATGCAACGAGATTGGTGATGAGTTTCATTACATTTTGCAGTGTAGCTCTTTGGCAAATTTTCAAGCACAATATTTGAATACTTTTTTCTTGCACAGAATTAATATACTAAAGTTTGTAAAACTATTTCAGTTAAAATACAAAAATGAGTTAAAAATGCTGTGCAAATTTATCAGGGTTATAACTTTTCAAGTAAGTCTTCCTGGTAAATCACCACTCTTCGCCACTGTTTATTTTATTTTATTTATTTTTTTGCATCTCATCTTGTCATGTGTGTTTATGTTATGTTATAACTTTTGATGAACTTCTTTGTACCATTGTAACTGTATGGTGTTTGAGAAATAAAGAATCTTGAATCTTGTTAATTTGTATAGTTTGTTTCATATTATAATGCTTGCTTGAATCTACTGTTGAATTTGTGTTATAAAAGAAATAAAATAATTTACTTGTATTTGTTTCCATTTCTTGCGTATTTATTTAAATTAAAAACACAGAATTCATACACATACAAAAATAACCTATTACCTATAAAAAAAACACTTGTCAATTAAAAGTTGATTAAACAATGCATATGTTTATACAGTATAATCCTTTGTTTGCACAAGTTTTCCCCCTATTCCCACATGAAATTTTAACTTTTCTTACCAGATTTATAAAAAGTGGGAATAGGAGGAATGAACCACAGACACTATCTTTTATACAGGAGTTATATGGTTAAGCTTTAAATTCTGTGCAATGTTTGTATTTCTATTTTTTTAACTACGGTTTATTAAGGCGTTGATACAGTCGGGGGCGTGCGCCCTATTAAATCGTAAGAATATCATTTTGGCATAAAACACATAAAACACGTCAAACAGAATTTCTCCTCGATCTGCCATCGGCAAAATTATGAGACCCACAAATCCTGAAGCAACCTTTATGTTCTATATTCACCCTTCAACCCTAATTACATCATACGATTTTTCTTCATGTGCAGTTTACCATCAAATACAGAAAGCGAACTAAACAAACACGAAGTGCATGACTTTTCAAATCGGATTAAGATGAACATACATCAGTAACAGAATACAAGTAAATCTGTAAATATCATGAAAGCAAACGCTTGACATTTTCTGGCTTATGTTGATATATATACATGATATACACAAAAATCATGTATTAAAACTAACTTGTGTCACAAAGTGTGTAAACTACAATTGTTTATTGATATTGTAGATCTGACTTTTATGTTTGTATTTGGGTCATATACAGCGAGTAACATAATAGTGGTCCTTTTCGACATCGGTTGTATACAAATACGAGTGGCGTAGGAGTAACCTGTAAAATTGGGGTGAGGTGGGATTAGAGGGGAGGGGCAAATTTGTGAAAGTGACAAGCAAAAGAAAAACTTTTCTATAGTCTAATAGTCAATGTCTATACAATATATCAAATCGCCCACCGTCTTTTTTGTGTATATTCTTTTATGTTTGTTTTGTAAGATCGAGGTAAACAAAATTGAGCGGATTCAGATCTAAAATACTTATGTTGTCCTCTATTGGTCCTCTAAATGGTTTTTTTTTTTTTTTTTTTTAACGTTGGGTTACTGTCTCATTGACGAATACCACACAACTCGGATAAATCATATTAAGTTGATAGGAGTTTGAAATTATATATTAGAAGACGAAAAGGTTGTGTATAAAAACTGGTCCGAGAAATATAGTGTGGACAGTGTTTTACTTGCAACTTTTATCATTCACTTTCCCAATTAATGTCTTCTGTTTTATGCATAAAATGGTAAAACTAGGTATGAAATTACACTGTAAAAAAAGGTCTTTAATTTTAAGGTAACGTAGTGATTTGGTCCAGTTGAAAAGGTCCAAAAATGAGTGCGACTGATGCTGTCAAACTGAATTCAGTAACCCATTGCTATAATATTTTAAGTTAGAGCTGATGAAGCATTCTATAATTTTTATATAATTTGTCCCAAAAGTAGTACACTATGAAAATCTTATAGAAAAAGCGCAAGTACAATATTTTAATTTGCATATACATTTTGTTACATGTAGTTTATTGTTTGAAAGAAAAGAACTACGAATATACTGTTGTTCTCGAACCAACTGTAAGAATTTTAGGAGGTAAACGTTCATTTTTCCTCTGCAGATGAAGTATCTTTGTATAAAATGCAAGCAACTATTTGGTCTATAGGTAGATAGTTGTCTCATTGGCAATCATAGTTGAAAGTCTGGTTGGGGTCCTTAAATTCAGTATTCTTTAAATTTTGGGGCATTTTTCCTTGACTTTCTTAATGACACTTATTCTTTAAAATTTCTCTTTACTATTCTATATCCTGTACTTGATATAAGGATAAGAAGATGTGCATGGTATGATTGCCAATGAGACAACTATCTACCAGAGACCAGATGACATATATATATATAGAAGTTAACAACTATACCGTACGTAGTTCATTTCTGTAATGAGTATTGTATTACCTAATTCTATTATTTCCCGCAGTTAATTTTTATACTTTTACACCCCATTATTTTCTATTCTTTAAATTGTTTGCTCATTTTTCTCTATTCAATATTTTTTTAAGGCCAATATTCTCTATTCTGTAAACCCCATACAGACCCTCATAGTACATCAATTTGTTTTATATTATCATTAAGTACTCAGTAATTAATTGCGACCATCAATTTGATATGAATAAAAACGAAATAACAATGCTGTATTGTTGGAGTATCCGAGAAATTTTGATTCCACCACTGCAACAAGTGTGTTACGATATTTCTCCACTCGAGACAGTTAAATTTTAATATTTAAAGCGCGAGGCTTGCCGAGCTTTTTGAATAATTAAAATTGAACTGTTAAGAGTGGAGAAATATCGTAATACACGAGTTATAGTTGTGAAATCTGTTTCTCTAATGATTTTTATGTGTGACGTCATCAGGCATGGTTGCCTTTTTTTCATGACGTCACAATAGGAAATTCAGAAGAAACCAAGAAAATTTGACATCATAATTAAATTTCGACCAATCATTTGCCGAGAACAGTTATTTCACTAGTGAGGAGAACACCTTTTTCACAATCGGTTGGGAATGTGAAAATAGTGAAAAAAATTAGGGAAACAATAGTTACACATACCGATTTTGTGTCTATAGATACATGTACGAGAAAGTCCAATGTGTTTTTTTTTTGCGTGGGTCATACAAATACTACGTCACATATGAACATGCGTATAACCAATGTAGGTTATGGATATTTTAAGAAGAACAATATAATTACATTTATTCTATTACACATCAAATTCCATGGTGCTGATACAAGTTTGAGGAGAGTGCGTTCCGGATAAATCCGGTTGAAACGCCCTTTTATCGGAAAAATAAAGTATGACCATAAAAATCTGTTACAAAACAAGAAAATATACCACAACCTTTACACTTAATTAATCTTGTTGATTTTTGATGAATTTTTTATGCTTTGATCTGTTTTACTACCGACATAATTAAATGATGTTTGACATCAGTTTAGGCGATTATTTCTGCTTCTTATAAATTGTTATTACACTTATTTGAAAAGATTTTCATGATACTTTAAAGTATATAAACACGTAATAGTAATTATTCCAATACACTCCATCGTTTCTACCAAGATGTTGTTGAGAGTACTTGCTTTAATAAGCACAGTCCTGGTTTTGAGTAGTGCCACTTACTACAAGCCACCCCGTAAGTAATGATTTTTTTATAGTTTTTATTTTCTTTCTTTTTTCCTTTTTTCTTATTTTTTCTTTTTTTTTCTCTTTTTTACTCTCTTTTCTTCTAAAAAAAAACTTATCCCGTATTTTGGTTTTTATTTTTTAGATATTTGTATGTTTTTTTAGGAAGATGTCCTAGTGGCTGGTATCTTCATGGAAGAAGTTGTTATTTTTTCTGTCGCACGCAAGTTAATCAGAAAACTGCCTCAGTAAGTTAATTTATGTATTGCACTTAAAGTATAACATTTTAAAATATGATGTTGAGGGTTAGGTAAGAGTCTATTACAAATCCACCATTGCGTGATGCCATATTACTTGACATCACTTATCAACGTGTTTTATAAGAGTAACATGGCGGGTGTCGTATGTGAAGCAGAATATGTGTACTCTTCGAGAGCATCTTAGATCACACCCCAATTTTTGGTAGGATTCGTGTTGCTCAGTGTTTAGTTTTCTATGTAGTGTTCTGAGAACATGCTTGTCATTTCGTTGCTTTGCGTTTTCTGCCATGCGTTGTCGGTTTTTTATTCGACTTGTGAGTTTTCAGAGTGAAACGATTTAATGCAGGAGAAATTGGTCGTGTTAAAAGCTTACGAATTAATTTTTGTGACAAATAAGATTATATGTATATATATTTTTTTAATAAATCATTGTTATTTGGAAAAGCAAAATTTAAATATAGATTTTTTTAACCTTTGAATTTTAGTTGTTAGGTTGCCTGTCTATTCGAATTTAATCGGTCTTTCCTATGATGGTGAAAAGAGTAGGAAGATACCAAAGGGAGGTAAAAGTCGAAACCCAAACAATACCGTCCACAAAACACTAGATAAAACCCATGAGTGATCAACAATAACCCCACCAAAATGCAGGGGTGATCATCAGGTGCTCAGGAATGGTTTCTCGCATGTTGGTATTTGATGAACAGGCACTCAAGATATTTTCTGGTTTGGCTTTTGTACCCTTTGTGACAAGATCTACAGTATTCAGCAATATCATGTTTTAATTTTGGCCAAAATACAGGAAAACCATGACATTGTAGGTTTTAATAAAAACAATAAAACATACAACAGACTTGAACGATCCAAACATATCGCATTTTATTCGCACAAAATTTGTCTTGGAATTTCAGGATATTTGCGAGAAAAAGGGAGGTTACCTGGCAAGAATAGACAATATTGCAGAGGACAACTTCCTGAAACAGCAGGCAAAATCTCTCAGTGAGTCGAATAGTTATAACCATATGTATTTCCTATGATTTATTTTCTCTGCCTTCAGTTCACAGAAACAAAATTTTCCAGTCTGAAAACGGAAAGGAAATTATTTACAAAAATAAATGTATTAATGAATTATCTCAAATTAGAAATATCGTAAAAAGATCCTTTTCACAGGGCAGTATAAATAAACGTATGCAAAATTTCAAAATCTGGTTAAAGACCACGTGTCCAAAAAAAAACTACCAAGGACTTTGTATTATGAATGGAAATTTTTCTTATTATTGAAAAACAGTATATAAAGAGAAGTGCATAAACCGGAGGCTTTTCTTATTTATTGAACTACACATGTAGTCTATCAACATTTGGCCGCGCCTGTCAAATGAAAAGCATAGGATGGAAGGAGCTTAAACAAGTGCACAAAATTTGTTATTAGCTGTTTGACTTCGCCTCCTCGGACTAAGAAAACACGAAATGATAAAATCAAATGTAATACCAATGCCAAATCTAAGCAAAATGTACACACAACAGATTTGAATCATTAATTGAGAGGCCTACAAAAAGGAACGAAGAGACGTTTACAGTTTATCTTACGAGAAGTACAAATAAACCGTTGAAATTTCGTTATCGAATTAAGATCACAAACAGAATATTTTACTTTCACAGTTTTCCTAACAAGAAGTACAAACAATGTAAAAACAAACAGTTGAAAATTCATCATCTGAATAAAATGCACAAACAGCAAACTTTATTTTCACACTTTTCCTTACAAGAAGTATAAAGCAACCGATGACAATTCATTATTTGAATAAAAATCACAAACTGCAACTTTTACTTTAACAGTTATTCTTACAAATAAGAAGAATAAACAAACCGTTGACAATTCATTATTTGAATGAAAATCACTAACAGCGAATTTTAGACAAGAAGAATTATAAACAAACCGTTAAAATTCAGCATCTGAATAAAAATCACAAACAGGAAACTTTGCTTTCACAGTTGTTTTCCTTACAAGAAGTATAAACAAACCGTTGAAATTTCATCATCTAACCAAAAGATCACACAGTAGCTGTTTTTGATCAATTGGATAACCCGGCCTTCCTCTTAAGGTTCACACGAACTAGACTTTCTTACCCAGCACTTTTGATGGTCAAGAATTAACTAATCCAAATTATGGACATAAACAATTTAAGGTCATTCTAATTTTAGGGTCGAAAAATAAAAAGTACAAAGCTAGTTCTCTGTTATAAAAATCAGATGTTATACTCTCTGAGGTTTATTTTTTCTACCCCAGGATTAGTCCAAATAATTATGACGTCTTGCAAGGCTATTTTACGTCATAATTATTTGGACTCCCCCAGGATTAGATTACCTTAGCTGTAGTTGGCAAAACCTTTCGGAATTTCAAGCCTTGCATCTATGATTAGTTTGTTTATGACACTTGTGTGCGTATATTCCAGTTGAACGATACGAGATCATTGCAACCAATGTTATAAAACAATATTGAAAATATTTTATATCATCTTTTATCTGTAGGTATTGCCGGAAAAGGAAGCTATTGGATTTCACCGGTATGTAAGAAACGAGTTTATCAATACAAATGCTCATGGAAACATGAATCTAATAATAAGGCCGTGACCTATGAAGGATGGTACAGCTATGAACCAAACAGTAACCAGAAATGTGCAGTACTGTATTGTGGGTACAGATACTCTTGGAATGATTTCAACTGTAATGATAAAGCTTACTACATCTGTGAAGTGAGTATTTTTAACTAACTATTAAATTTCAAACGTTGTATTGAATTTGTAGTTCATTGTGAACTGGTAAATAAATGTTTGTGCACTGGTGATGTGTATAAAGCAAAAAACATAGAAACATCATTAATTTAAGTTTGTTTTCCCCAGTCAATTATGTTTTTTGTTGAAATTGTTTTCTGTTTTTACCAAGAAAATCATATTTTATGTTGAAAATGGTTTTTTTTTACCTAATCAATCATGTTTTATGTTGAAAATGTTTGTTTTACCAAATCGATCAGGTTTATGTTGAAAATCATTTGGATAAACCCAGCCAATCAGAATCTATGTCACCACTCCGGACTGACGTCCCACAGTCCAAGCAAGTCATAAAAAGGTCTTCAAATGTCAGAAAAAACTTAAACCTAATAAACCGGACCTTATCACGAAAAATTTACGTTGACCACTGTTATAAAGTCATGGCCAGGTAATCCCTGAAATACTACTTTTTGTTTATAAATGGTAGATATGAGTGTCTGGGAGCACATGCCATAGTTGGTATTTATTGGGCTATCGTCAATGGTCATATTATCAATTTATGAATGGATTTGGTTTTGTTTCAACACTGTGTATCATCACCTCCGGATATAGGTATCCCCGATGCGACGGAAAAACAAATGGGAAGTCAGGTTAGGTTAAATTCGGGGAAAAGAATAGATACTTGTTGCTATCATTGTTTCTTTACTTTGGGGTACTTGCATATCCGGTGGTGATTCTACATAGTTTTCTAATCCGACATTATATGAAAACAAATATGAAGTAAATCCGATCAATTTTAGTTGAATACAATTGCACATACTTCCTATGTTCTTTTGCAAAGATATGAATGCTTACAATATTTGATACTGTTTGTTATTGTTAATTCAAATTTGCTGCTGGTACAGTTCCGTCTGAAAAATGTGAAACATAAAATTGAGAATGAAAATGGGGAATGTGTCAAAGAGACAACAACCCGACCATAGAGCAGACAACCTTTTTTTTCTTGATATATCAATGATTTTAATCAAATGATGCCTATTTTGTTATAGTCGAGTTTTTTTAGGGTTAAATAACATTTAAAAATGTTTGGTGTTGTTAACTACACAAGCATCACACATTTTGGCACTCCGAGGCGGGTGGGGAGCAAGAAGGTGAACTGTGGTTTATTTTTATCAATAGTACCGCTTAAGTCGACGCTAGGGGCCGTCTTGACCTTGTTGTAGGGTATGAATGATTCCTTCATTGTTGAAGACCCTACATCAACTGTCAAGATGAAGAACAGGAATAAAAGCCCTGTTCATTGATAATTTTCTATGTTTTCTATGTATTGTGTGCGATTTTGTCCCATGTACATTTACTCCATATCCTTTCATTTTCTATAGTTATTGAATAGATGTTATAAATGTTTTTGGTCATCTTAGCCAAAACAATTATGCATTTTGCATGTAATTTTCCAACAGAAATACACATTATACATGTTACTTTAATGTTGAAATTCAACAAATGTATTTTTCTTTCAATTTTAATAGAAACAAGTACCATCTCCAGTAATTCCGCGGCCGATCCCTCGACCTCTTCCGAGACCTTATCAAAAACCACTTATTAAACCTAGACCAAAGAGTTATCCCGACTCTGACTCGTCAGATTCATCTGAAAAGAAAGGACCAAAGAAGTACAGAAAATCGGGCAAAAAAAGCAGTAGCAGCTCAAGTGATGAAAAGAAGAAAATAAAATCATATAGAAAAAAATCTGGCAGCGGTGGAAACTCCAAAACAAGATACAACAAAAAATCGAGCGGTAGCAGCTCAAGTGAAGAAAAGAAGAAATTAAAATCATACAGAAAAATATCTGGAAGTGGTGGAAACTACAAAGATGGAAATACCATAACAAGATATAACAAAAAATCTAGCGGTTCTAACAGCAGCGAAAAATGGGGTGGAGGCAAAAGTAAAAGAAGATACAACAAAAAATCAAGCAGCAGCAGTTCCAGTAGTGATGAAAAGAGTGGCGGGAAAAAGTCGTATTCAAAGAAAATACCGTCTCCACCTCAACCACAACCTCGTCCTCTTCCTCCAAAACGATATTAGATGTATAGTATATAGCAAAGTGTAGACAGAGATAAAATTCACTAGCATTAAAGATTAAAATTAGATTTAAGTTCTCTCTTTTGTTTTTAAAGAGAATGTACTCAAGAGTTCTACCATACTAGAAGAGATCTTATACATTGTATGCACTATTAATAATTAAGTATTAGAAATTAATAAAATGTTCTATTTTAATACAGTTTTGTAATATTTTTTTTAGATAAAATAAAAACTTCATAAAACAATTTATGTACAACACTGCACGTTTAGCCTTAGGTGATAAATGTGTACGGTATTGAATGTACGTTTTGTAGACTGATCTATGTCGGAGAAACACAGAAAGACTTATGGAAATAATCAAATGATCATCAATCTTAAAATAGAACTTAAATATTTCAATTTTCAGATATATTAATGATGTCCTGTCACTGAATATATTTTAGTGACTGATTGCATCTCATATATTCCAGTTAACTTGAGATCAATGATACATCCGAAACTAGAAGGTCTGTTTCATATCTCGAACTTTTATTGATTTCAAACTTATATTTTGTACAAATGAAATAATTTCAATTTGCTTATTGTCAACTTTTATTTTTTAGCAGTAATATAACTCGAATAATTCTGCGCCCTTTAGCGGCCTTTAGCCTATACTATCGAGGCTAATGTAGCAATCGGAGATTAGTCGGAGATCGGCGGAATACTAGTAACGACTGACATTATTTGGGTTAGCAGTACCTGTTGTGAAGTCCATATCTCGGGCGTATTGCGTTTCCGCTAATTTTTCAAAGTTCCAATACCAAGTTTCCGAAATCTTTAAGTATACGTTTCCAGAATTTGTATTTATTACTTTTCCGGAGATTTACTTGGAATTAAATCATAAATATTTGAATATATGTTAGATAATTATTTATTTTACACTTTTATACAAAAACGTTTCTGATATTAAATCTACAATATATAAGATATAACCAGTTGACTACGACTACAAGGACAAAGATTCGGATTTTGGAAAAAATGGCTGACACATTTCTTTGGTTTGGCTTACTTGCCAAACAATAATATTGAAGAATGGTTTGTAGAATTAATAGCAGACGCTCCATCTGACGATAAATGCATGAAGTTTGCAGATTACATATTGGAATTTTATATAGATGGCAATTCGATATTTCCACCAACCAATGGTTCCGAGTATTTTAATTTCCACTTAAACGAGCAGTTTTACGCTAGCCATCCTAACCTTTTAGTCTTTGTCGATGTGCTTTCAAAACTGCAAACATCATCGTAAAGATGAGAACTTTATCTATTAAAGCACCCGTTCGAAAATATGAAAAGGAGAAGATGGACTTCCTTGTTGAAAAAAAAAACACAAAACTTTTAAATGGTGAATGTACTACTGTGGACTTTCTACGACGTGTTGGCTACAATTTTATTATGACTTTGCTTTCGTTCAACAGGTATTCCTTAATTATTTTCCCGGAAAAGTAACAATTTTTTTTTCAGGAATCGTAACTATTTTCCCGCAAAAGTAAGGTATTTCTTTCCGGAAACGTGAACTTTTTTTCCCGGAAACTTCATCTTTTTTTCCTGGAAAAGTAATGCCAATTTCCGGAAACGTAAAACACCGCATATCTCAGATACTATAGGAAGTAGGTCTTCTATATTTGGTGTATTTGCATGATTGTAAGGTTTACATGTCCATCTGTCAGGTGTTACTTGACCGTGATCTCATTTTCATGGTTCAGTGGTTAAAGTTAAGATTTTGTGTTTGGTCTGTTTTTCTGGTACTGTATGCAATAGGTCAACTATATTTGGTGTAAGAAAATATTTAACGATGTACATTTCAGTCTGGCATGGTTTATTTGACATTGACTTCAATTTTACGGTTCATTGACCAATGTAATGTTTTGATTTTTTGGTCCGTTTTTCTAATACTATAAGCAATAGGTCAACTATATTTGGTGAATGGAATGATTTTAAGGTTTTGTCTGTCTGGCTTTTATCATCTGACCATGACCTATTTTTCATGATTTATTGGTCGATATTAAGTTTTCCTGGTTAAGTTTGGTTCTTAGATACTATACGGAATAGGTCAACTATATTAAAAGCATGTAATGAATGTAAGATGTACATGTCTTGCAGGGTTCATCTTACTGTGGATTCATTTATTTTCGTGGCTACCAATTTTCGTGGATTCCGATGATGAAGACTTGCATTTTCGTAGATATTGAATTTCGTGGCTTTGCATGGCAAAGTTTGAATATATTCTTTTAGAAAATATGTTATTCGTTGAACATTCAAATTCGTGGTTCCCCAGTACCAACGAAATCCACGACACTTAGTATCCAACGAATTTTAATGAATCCACAGTGCCTTGACCTCATTTTCATGGTTCGTTTATAAGTTTTCCTGGTTAAGTTTGTTTCTACGATATGCAGTAGGTCAACTATTTTTAATGCATATTTAGTGTATTCAATGATTATAAAGTGTACACGTATTTCCAGTTTGGTTTAATTGACCTTGACCTCATTTTCTTGGATCATGTTAAGTTTATGTGAAAGTTGTAGTAAAAAGATATAGGAAGATGTGGTATGAGTGCCAATAAGACAACTCTCCATCCAAGTCACAATTTATAAAAGTAAACCATACAGCAAACTATACAGGGCTCCAAAAAATTACTAGTGTAAAACCATTCAAACGGGAAAATCTTTATATTTAGGACTATCAACATAATATCAATGGTTAGTAAAGAAGGCGAGATATTTCAGCGTGTGCACCCTTGTTCATTCCCATTTTGGACGGCTATGTTCCTTTGACCCCTTCTAATGGTGTCATTTTGTATATTTCACAACTCGTATGCATAGGGTTGAGCGCTCAAAACATGTTAACCCGTCATATTAATAAGGTGCCTGTTCAAAGTCAAAAGTCTGTTATTTAGTGGTTGTCGTAAGTCCTTGGCTGTAATATTTGTTTTTCATATGTTAAATTGTTATAAATTATGCTATTCGTTTTCTCATTTGAATTGTTTCACATTTTTCATGTTTTATAGCTGACTATACGGTATGGGTTTCACTATTGTAGTCCGTATGATGACCTATACTTGCTAACATCAACGTCATGTGAACTGTGGTGGACAGTTGTCTCATTGGCAATCATACCAAATCTCCTTCTTTTTCTACAATTAGTTTTATTGTGTCTGTGTCTCAACTCACTATTGACATTTTTTTCACTGTATTAGAACTTTAGATAGTCGTCTGATCTGTAAATATACCAATTGTGTTCTATTCCCAATGGTGCAATTTCACTGAGTTCGCATTCGAGTGGTGAGTTTTGCATGCATAGAAGGAGCCGCTTACCCTGCAAACGGACCCGGTATCGCTTCTTTTGGAGGTCATATGATTCCCTCATTTTTTGTTAGCTACCTGTATTTGTTTCTTCTAAACCGATTAGTACATCGATAACCTTATGTTGTCTATATCTCTTTATCAAATACACGGTGCATAGTTTCTACGAAAAGTACATAAAAGAGTACAAATTATCTCCCTGTAAGTCGTCAAAAAAGAGTAAGAAGATACCTAGGGATAATTCGAAAATCCTCAGTCCAATATTTACAGAAAACACCATGGCCAAAAATAAAAACGACGAAAGTACTAACAACAATGACAAACTCTACGTAGAAAACTAAAGACTGCGCAAACGAACACAACCAAAAACCGGGGATGAACTCAACTGCTCTTGTCATAATAATTAGTACTTGACCTGCTGATAATTTTTACCACTTGTCAGTTTTACTCTTGCAATTTACCCCTATGTTCAATTTAAGGGGCAACAACGGCCATGAAAAATTTCGCCTAGTAGCTTCAGGGATTTGAATTATTTAACGTGCATGACAACGACGACGAACGCCAAGTGGTGACAAAAGTTCATATGGGTCTTTTGACATGGTGCATTCCGTACCTGTTGAACAACTTCAACTTCGCCTTATCCTTCTTATCCTTATTCACATTTCCCAATTCAGGAAACTTATTTAACAGTGGCTAATCGCGTTGTTCTCTATTTAGGAAATACTATCCTTTTGTAAAACATAACATCTACTTATCCTATGTCATTGCCAATTCAGGACTTTTCGGTCAGTAATTGTCCATTTTTGTATCTTACTTTTTTAAAATTTCAGAAATACCCCTAAAATCAGTGTCAGATCTCTTATAGAAAAGATAACTTTATGCTTCCACACGCTGTCGTTTTTTGTATCCCTGATGAAGAACATTTCAGAAGCAAGTTATGTGCATTGAAATACATGTCTTTCAGTGAGTTCAGCCCCGCTTTTTGGTGAGGATAATCGTGTTTTTTCTCTCGCGTTTTTTTGCCAAGGTTTTGTTATTTTTACTTCCACATATGATTATTGAATGTCTCCTTAGTTTCTTTCACCTCTATTTTTGTATTCGATTTCTAGATTCAAATATTTTGGACGACGAATAATTTGACGATCTTATATTATTGGCAATTGTGTGTCACACACTAAATGAAAGGCTATGAACATTTTTTTTTGTATTGCTGTCTTATTGATTTAACCTTCATTTTGTTTTACCTATCAACCGTTCAAACATGTACTAAACTGTTTGGAAAATACAATAAAAATAAGCGATATAGTTATATATTTATTCAATAATTCCCTCCACCATCTATGCTAGTATTATCATAAAAGTATTAATAATAAAAATACTAAATCTAACTCATTATTACACATCAGAACTAAGATTTGAGGCGATCAATGTTGAAAAAAAAAAAAAAAAAAATACAATGAATGTTAACTTAGCATGAATATATGTACATAATACATCTTATAATGATATCAATGGTATATCCACCAGTTTAGGCCTTTACTTAGTTCGATTGTTATCATTTTATACTGCTAGACGAGCGGCCAAATTTTAAGTTTAAAATTGCCAAACGGGTATACTCGTGACTTAACTTTTTTATTTAAAATTTAGTTTGAAATATACATTTTGGAGAAATTGAAAGACTGCAAACACAATTTTATTTTATCTATACAAAATTAGGAAGATTCGTACACCAATATGTCAGTGCAATTAAGGCTTTTTCATTCAATTATATGAATACCTCGAATGTGCCTATTTTGTAATAACATGAGCCACACGAATGGTGCCACATGTGAAGCGGGATCTGCTTATCTTTTTTCAGCATCTGGAACCATTCTCGGGTTATTGCAGAGTTCTTTTTGGTAATGGTTCCAGATGCTGAAAAAAGATAAGTAAATTTTTGTTATTCTGTGCTTTGAAGACTGTTATTGTTCTGTAACTTTCGTCTTTCATTTTTGTCATGGCGTTATCAGTTTGACTTTGACTAATAAGTTTAAATATCCCTTCAGCATGTTCAGTACCCTCCGCCTCTCATTTGAATACCATAGCAGAAATATTACATAATTTTTTCTCTCTCTTTTGTCACTGTGTTAAAGACCCCTGGGTGGCATTTGGCTGTTTTCTGCTCTTTTGTCGGGTTGTTGTCTCTTTGACACACTCCCCGTTTGCATTGTTTTATTATATAAAAATCAGAAGATGTGGTATGATTGCTAATGAGACAGTAGAATTATACAATTCTTTGTCATGAATACAGTGTTCACATAAATGCTTTCAATTGTCATCCTTAAGTATTGGTATTTAACAATATTTACAAGTGTTAAACATTTGACTTGCGTCTTAAATGAACCCAATATTGTCGCCAAATGGATCAATTTCAAGATAATGATTTAGCTGTACTAGAGTTTTACTTTGAATCTAAATAAGTTATATCAATCAATGTATTAGTAGAAATCATGACAATGAACACGAATTTAAATGTTTAAGAAAGTAATCATTTTCTATAGAGTTGTATGCAGGTTTCGACCACACCACGAAATATTTATTGACTTCATGAAAATTGATACCAACTTAAAAGGATGCATCCACCATAAGATAAGACAGTGTATAAGAAGAAATCATGGCCATCAATTAATATAAGACAGTGTAATTAATCAAATTATCAAAGATACATATCACAAGATAAATTATCAATTATTGTTCTTTGGGTAATATCTTAAAGGTTTACTGTGGTATACAAACATGGTCGGTCATATGTCCTTTAATGTCTGGTTGGAAAGGATGTAGAAAGTTCCTTCTTTTGAAGGTGTGGGAAATATTAGTATGCGACTATCCTAATGAGAATGGTGGTGATAATTCAAATCTATCATACTGAGAGATCACCACGTTCTCTGCAGGGAAAAAATCCTTGTATTTTTAATTATAACAATTCATTTGTAACTTCATAATGACACTGTGTTATCAGAGAAGCCACATAAGTATTTCAAAGATCCGAAATAGATCCATCAGCCATCCTAACTTAGGGGAAAATGCCAACATGCACACACATATTATTTCATATCAATTGTGACATTAAACTTGATTATATACATGTATAATGTTTCTATAAAATATCAGATTAAAAATTAAAAAAACAATAATTGGGTTAAATAACATGATTAACTACAAATGCAATAAGTGAAATGTTTTCCCAGAAAAGTAAGTGCAAAGTATTTTTTTTTCTTTCTAGAATATGAACAATTTTCCAACAAAATCAAGGATAAACAAGGCAATGAATAAAAAAATAGGTAACAATAAGTTCTAATCTATATCTAAATCATTGAAACACACAAAAATAAGATTAAGGGTTATCTAATTATATTCAACAATTATAATAAACACTGTACAACTATAAATCTTTATGATCAATTTTGAAACATCTATGATAACGGACAAAGTCTTTGTTTTATAAGCAACCATATAAGTATATGATAAATCTCATAATTCAATCAAGGGTGAATCCACCAGTTTTGACCCAAGAAAATTTTCGTACATGAAACCGACATTATGATGGTGCAATTTAGGCTTTTTCATATTGTAGGCTAAAATTGATTTATCAGTGCACGAGTTTGACCTTGTCGTATATTTTGCCAGCCAATCGACCCGTTAAAGCAAACCAAAATCTAAAGCATGATCATACAACGTGAGCATCATCTTTTGTCAAATTGTTAAACAACTACTAAAATTATTTTGCTGACGTCTCCTAGATATATCTTTATTTTTGTTTACATTTTAAAGTCATCTGAGTTATATGTCGGATGTATGTTTGCATAGTTGTAGCTTCTGAATCCCAATTATTGTCACATTTACCTATCGTGTCTGTTTAGATCGCTAACCCAACTTTATTAACATAACGGATTTATGAACAACTTTTAACTGTCAATGACAGTCATACAAGTGGGAGGTTTAGCTAGCTTCAAAAACAAGTTTAACCCACCATTTTTGTCATAGAATGCCTGTACCAAGATGGGAATATGACATTTGTTTTCCATCTGTTCCGTTGTGTGATAAAGTCCAACATTCGATTATAAATTTCTGTAATAAAAAGTATATTATACAAAAAAAGCAGATAAAAGGGTATAACACCAAAAAAGAAAAACATACAGATTAAATACACTGACCAATTACACACACTCTAAACACTACTGACAAATGCATTTACTCCATGCACACACTAGCTAAAAAGCATACACTTTATACATATACAGAACTGTTTTTTACACTCTTTATTCATACTCATATTTAATTGCATCAATTTCATATATATATATATATATATATACTGACATGTTTCATAAACGAATAACATACAGACACTTTTTTCTAATGAAGTTAACAATACAGATAAAATAACTTGTTTTAGTCACAACTCTAAGCTGTTATCAAAATTGGAAATTTGACTCGAAATATGATAAATTTCCATCCACTGTGCCTTAGGGGCAATATCAAGTGTTGACTGACGTTTTTTATTACACAATCTATCTTCTAGATTCGTAGCAAGCATTAGCTGGTCAGTTTCAAAATATCGCAAATATTACTTCTCATTTCGAAAAGAGTTATCCAGTTCAAAAGAAGCAAGTTGCATCTCAACATCAGCTTTCAGTGTTGTACATACTTGTCAAAATCGTTCTGTATTAATAGTGCCACTATATTTTGATGTCCGCTTTCAGAGGCCACATACAATAGCGACCTCCGGCTCCACCTGTCACAATACATAGAGACATCAACAGTGTTTTGCAGTAACAGTTTCACTATATTTATATGTCCTCTTTCACAGGCCACATACATTGACAACTTTTTCTCGTAGTCACATGCATATACATCAGCATTGTTCTGAAGTAACAGTTTCACTATATATGTATACCCGGCTTCACAGGCCACATATAATGGCGACTTCTCCTTGTAATTACTCTTAGAGATATCAGCATTGTTCTGCAGTAACAGTTCAACAATATCTGCATGTCCTTTTTCACAGGCAACATACAATGGCGACTTTTCCTCGTAATTACTCTTAGAGATATCGGCATTATTCTGCAACAACAGTTCAAGTATATCGGTATGTCCTCCTTCACAGGCCACAAACAAAGGCGACTTTTCCTCGTAATTCCACCTTGAAATATCAGCCTTATAATGTAGCAGCAATTTTACTATATCTATGTGTCCTCCTTCACATGCCGCAAACAATGATAATTTTTCCTCATCGTCAGACTGCGAGACATCAGCATTTTTTTGCAATAACAGTTCCACTATATATGTATGTCCTCCTTCACAGGTCATATGTAATGGCGACTTTTTCTGGTCATCACATTTAGATATATCAGCATTGTTCTGCAGTAGCAGTTTCACTATATCTTTATGTCCACCTTCACAGGCCACAAACAATGGCGACTTTTCCTCGTAATTACACTTAGAGATATCAGCATTGTTCTGCAGTAACAGTTCTACTATAATTGTATGTCCTCCTTCACATGCCACAAACAATGGCGACCTTTCCTCGTAATTACTCTTAGAGATATCAACTTTGTTCTGCTGCAGTAACAGTTCAACTATAAGTCTATGTCCTCCTTCACATGCCACATACAATGGTGACTTTTCCTCGTAATTACACTTTGAGACATCAGCATTGTTCTGCAGTAACAGTTCCACAATATCTGCATGTCCTCCTTCACAGGCAACATACAATGGCGACTTTTCCTCGTTATTACACTTAGAGATATCAGCATTGTTCTGCAGTAACAGTTCCACAATATTTGCATGTCCTTTTTCACAGGCAACATACAATGGCGACTTTTCTTCGTTATTACATTTAGAGATATCAGCATTGTTCTGCAGTAACAGTTCAACTATATCTATACGTCCTCCTACACATGCCACAAACAATGGCGACCTTTCTTCGTAATTACACTTAAATATATCAACCTTATAATTAAGCAACATTTCGACTATATCTTTGTGTCCTCCTTCACAGGCTACATACAAAGGCGACTTTTCGTCGTTATCACACTGCAAGACATTAGCATCGTTTTGCAGAAACAGTTCCACTGTTGTTTGATGTCCTCCTTTACAAGCCACATACAATGGGGATTCTTTGTCATAATTACAATGTAACACATCAGCATTCTTCTCTAGTAACAGTTTTACAACATTAATGTTCCCGCCTTCGGCAGCTCTATATAAAGATGTTCTGCCTCTCCCATCTTCGTTTTCCACATTACTTTTAATGATAGCAATCAGAAAGTGAACTATATCAGAGTAACCACCAGATGCTGATTCTATCAAAGGTGTCGTGCGAAATGTTTCATAATAATCAACTCCTTTTGTTTCGCAACCTTCAGTATCCAATGTCCTTAGTAATGTTATTGCTTTATTATTTCTTCCAAAAAAGCCTATTAACTTATGAATGAATGACTGGTATGTTAACTGTTTATTATGGAATGTACTTGTAATGACATACTCTTTTAAGTCCTTTAGCAATCTTTCAAAATAATTTTCTTCTTTGTCCTCTGATAGTAATATCAGATAATCACTTGCCTTTCCTTTCGAAATAGATTCAAATATAAATTGGTCACGTATAAATATAATAGGAGCATATTTGATAAAACATTCAGTAAGATGCTGTCCACAGATAACAGCTGCCAATTGGTGCATTTTTTCATGTATCATTTTATAATGTGTACCTCTTCGTTTTAAAAAGGTACCATTCAAGGATGAAAAACCAAATCTTAATGATTTTCTGTACATTTCTTTGCTGAAGTCTATGTCAAATTCTTTTAAAATGTCTCTAAGTTTGTCCTTCATATTCTGAGAAGCTAAATATAATTCCATATTCTGAGAAGCTAAATATAATTCCAGCCAATCTATATTGAATCCATTTTCGAAAAGGATACACAGAACAAGAGCACAGAACTGTTCTTTATGTGTATGAACAATGTGGTATACATTCTTTGTAATAGTGTCCACTTGAGCTGTAAATGGTTTGATGACTTCCTCAGATGATTTGTATTCTGAACACTTACAGAACAATGGAAAAAAATCCACTTCCTCCATGACTTGTGTGACATTTATTTTGTCAGTTATGTCATTTGAAAAGTACATATTTGCAATAAACATTTTTTCATCTTTTAGCAGACCCCACTTTTCTGATGATAAATTGCATTCCATTCTTGATAACCATGTGAAAAGTTGCAACTGTGATTCCTTATATATATGCGGTCTACAGGAAACAATTAATTTTGGACCTGATACTTTTGAGACAATGGCATCAGTTTTATTCTTTACACCTTTTTCTGCCATTTCAAAAATTTTCTCTATTTTTGTTGAATAATCTCTCCACATCTGTAATGCCTGCATGTTGATTGTTTCTTTTCCACAGATGTCATCAACAACAAAGGCTTGATTTTTGTTTTCATTATAATAGTTTATAATGTCTGTTGGTCCTGTTAACACAGGTACTATCTCATATTCATATCTGTCACGTAAGTGTAAGGCAGCATGGTGTATATTTGACGATTTGCCACAACCTGAGCTTCCTATCACAACAATACAGTTATTCAAGGGTAGATATTTCAGAATGTGACGTGTTGCTCTGATTTTAACAAAGGTAGTTTGATCTTGCTCCCATTCACTTATTTCTTGATCATGTTGAGCTAAGAAAAGAAATAATAACCACTGATGTTCTGTTTGGTGATCTAATTTGACCATAAACTTAAAATCAATAATCTATTTTTGATTACGAGGAAGACGTGTTGTTTCAATCTAACAAGCATTGGTTCCCTTTTGTAACTGATATATACTGCATTACATGTTATAAAATTGCGTAGTAGTATGCATTCTGACAGAATGAATTTTGATAATTCAAAAACATTTTAAAATAGGTTTAAATTAAATTAGTTTGTGAGAACCTCCTAATGCATGCTAGGCATTATAGCTGCTTTAAAGAGTATACAATAAAATATATGTGCATGCGAGTAGAAGTATTTAAGCCCATTAGATTTTTCTCTACCTGTAACTGTTTGAATGAACAGACAAAATAAGCATTTTACCTCCAATGTTCTATGTTTAGCTATGTCAGTCATGTATGTTTTTTAATGTCAGATTATACGGATATAGTTTGTAAACTAAATACCCAAATGAGTATTTAGACCAAGTGTAGTTTGAAAACGGACCACGATGACAGATGACGACTCACGACAGAAGAAGGACGACAGTCGCTCCTTTTTTAAGGGCTAGTTCAGCTACACACTGTATTTTAGATTTATCAATAGTGTAATGCAGGTGTCAATAAATTTTGGAGGATATCAATCTAAAGGTATATCCGAAAACCACATTAATTTAGGAGTAAAACAGTGACAAAGATGTGTTTTAGTTTGTTTCTGTAATAAACCATGTTTGATTGATGACAGTCACAATTCTCCATGTTGTATGAGCTTTTTTCTACACCAGGTATAATTAATATAAGTCACTTATATTAATTATACCTGGTGTAGAAAAAAGCTCATACAACATGTATAATTAATATAAGTCACTTAGTATCTGAGAGAAATTCATCAACGGTAATGACTGGTTAATTGTCTGATAGTTCCATATCCTATCGTGGCAAGTCTAACGTGTATATTTCAGATTAAGATATGTTAAATAATATGAGCTGACTTTCTCGTTCTTATAAATGCTTCATGCACAACAGCAAAGACACTAACAATAGAAAAAGTGAGAACAATAATCTTCATCAGGTACGATGGTGACGAATGGGTTAAAAAAAAAACCAAAAAACCCCAATCGAACACGAGATTGTAAAAATCAAAAGAAATTAAAACATGACACCCGAATAACATGCATTTACTCAGTAAGTGAACTAAATTGAAGTATGAAATGCAGGTCAAATACTGTATCCAGCCTTCTTTACCCTTGCATGCACCCTTATACTAGATTATATCAGCTCAACGAACATACCAGGCTAATAATTTGGAACACCAGACGAGTTTTATCAGTGACACTCGAAACAAAACAGTTTTAATGCAAATAAGATATAACTAAGTTGAATTGCATTTATTACCGAAAATGCCGAAACGTTGTACCAAATACGGCAATGGCAGTTTAAACCTTAGTATTTTGAATATTTCAACATTTTATCAACAGGTGTAATACCACCATTGATTTTCCCCTATTAGTCTTTGTTAAATTTGCACTTTTCAAAAAATTGTGCAAAATGTATCTTTGTTTCAAATAAAGAAATACTTGGCATTAGTAAAGTTTTATCCTGTTCAGTACTATAGAAAAAATTTCACATAACATGTCATTGCATATAAGAAAATAACCATCACTTGAATTTAACCAATCAAATTTTCCCCCTTTTTTAACCTGTGTACAAGCTTTAGTAACCATGTAACCTCAAGTTTCCAAAATATTCTATAGAAACCCCAAATAAAAAAATAATGGTGCTTTGAAATACTCAAGATATATGTTTATGACCCAGAAATGTTTTACTGCAATGAAATGTAGGATCAATTACCTACAACTGTCAAATTCAAGGGAATATTTTTTTCGACCTATTTTCGTATGCAACCGGATGTGACGTACTATGATTTGAAGAAGACTTTTTTGTTAAATAAACTGAATTTGACTTTTTTCCTTTGTAATACTGGTTATTTCAAGCATTCCTGTCAAGTTTTGTCATAATCAGTACAATAGTTTGAGAAAAATCTAGTATAATGTAAGGCGACATCTACAGCGATTCGAGCAAAATTTCTTCGAAAAATCCAAACCAAGCCGCATCATGATAGAATATAGTGTGGACCAATAAATGATCAAATATTTATCTCATCTGCCTACAAACAGTTGCATATGACACAAAAGATCACTTTAGGATGATAAAAACTACTAATGGACCTCTTTGTCTGCATTATAAGGTCTCTGTTGGTCCATTTATACCTCTCATTTCTTCAAAATTTCTACTTTTTAGGCCAATTAATAAAAATTTTGGGGTAACTTTCACTCATTTATGTTAGAAATGTTATAATAAATGTATTGAAGTATTCAAGCTGAATGAACTATCCGTATAAAAGTTTACTGTCTCCAAGGAGGTTTCAATAAGTACTTACGTAAAACTTAAATTTACGCCGCGTTCCAGAGAGGGACATAAAAAGCTTCTCTTTTGGTGAATAATTTGTTGTTACTGCTTTAAAAATAATTTCATTTACTTAAAACTATATATTTATGAAAGTATTTCTTAGGAAAATTTTTCTAGTATAGCAGAATGTAAGAAATAAGGAGAAAAAGTTCCCCAAAACTCTAAGTATGGCTTGTTCTGTCAACTAATATTCATGGTAAAGTCCTATTTCAAGGGAAATTTTCTAATAACATGTGTTTTGGAGACTCAATCCACTCAGAAAATTTCATTATTTGTAATATTTCACTTAAATAGCAAGAAATTTTAACACATGAAAGTACTCACAAGGTCAAAGGTGCACGTATAGCTTCCAATATTAGGTGTAATACCACCATTGATTTTCCCCTATTAGTCTTTGTTAAATTTGCACTTTTCAAAAAAATGTGCAGAATGTATCTTTGTTTCAAATAAAGAAATACTTGGCATTAGTAAAGTTTTATCCTGTTCAGTACATTAGAAAAAATTTCACATAACATGTCATTGCATATAAGAAAATAACCATTACTTGAATTTAACCAATCAAATGTTCCCCCTTTTTTAACCTGTGTACAAGCTTTAGTAACCATGTAACCTCAAGTTTCCAAAATATTCTATAGAAACCCCAGATAAAAAAATAATGGTGCTTTGAAATACTCAAGATATATGTTTATGACCCAGAAATGTTTTACTGCAATGAAATGTAGGATCAATTACCTACAACTGTCAAATTCAAGGGAATATTTTTTTCGGCCTATTTTCGTATGCAACCGGATGTGACGTACTATGATTTGGTGGTATTACACCTAAAGAAGACTTTTTTGTTAAATAAACCGAATGTGACTTTTTTCCTTTGTAATACTGGTTATTTCAAGCATTCCTGTCAAGTTTTGTCATAATCAGTTCAATAGTTTGAGAAAAATCTAGTATAATGTAAGGCGACATCTACAGCGATTCGAGCAAAATTTCTTCGAAAAATCCAAACCAAGCAGCATCATGATAGAATAAAGTGTGGACCAATAAATGATCAAATATTTATCTCATCTGCCTACAAACAGTTGCATATGACGCAAAAGATGACTTTAGGATGATAAATGCTACTAATGGACCTCTTTGTCTGCATTATAAGGTCTTTTGGTCAATTTTTACCTCTCATTTCTTCAAAAATTCTACTCAAAATTGGGGTAACTTTCACTCAGTTATGAGAGAAATGTTATAATAAATGATAAATTGAAGTATTCAAGCTGAATGAACTATCCGTATAAAAGTTTACTGTCTCCAAGGAGGTTTCAATAAGTACTTAGAATACGTAAAACTTAAATTTACGCCGCGTTCCAGAGAGGGACATAAAAAGCTTCTCTTTTGGTGAATAATTTGTTGTTACTGCTTTAAAAATAATTTCATTTACTTAAAACTATATATTTATGAAAGTATTTCTCAGAAAATTTTTTCTAGTATAGCAGAATGTAAGAAATAAGGAGAAAAAGCTCCCCAAAACTCTAAGTATGGCTTGTTCTGTCAACTAATGTTCATGGTAAAGTCCTTTTTTAAGGACATTTTCTGATAAAATGTGTTTTGGAGACTCAATCCACTCAGAAAATTCATTATTTGTAATATTTCACTTAAATAGCAAGACATTTTAACACATGAAAGTACTCACAAGGTCAAAGGTGCACGTATAGCTTCCAATAAAGAAGACTTTTTTGTTAAATAAACTGAATGTGACATTTTTCCTTTGTAATACTGGTTATTTCAAGCATTCCTGTCAAGTTTTGTCATAATCAGTTCAATAGTTTGAGAAAAATCTAGTATAATGTAAGGCGACATCTACAGCGATTCGAGCAAAATTTCTTCGAAAAATCCAAACCAAGCAGCATCATGATAGAAGAAAGTGTGGACCAATAAATGATCAAATATTTATCTCATCTGCCTACAAACAGTTGCATATGACGCAAAAGATGACTTTAGGATGATAAATGCTACTAATGGACCTCTTTGTCTGCATTATAAGGTCTCTTTTGGTCCATTTATACCTCTCATTTCTTCAAAAGTTTTTTTTTAGGCCAATAAATAAAAAGTTTGGGGTAACTTTCACTCAGTTATGAGAGAAATGTTATAATAAATGATAAATTGAAGTATTCAAGCTGAATGAACTATCCGTATAAAAGTTTACTGTCTCCAAGGAGGTTTCAATAAGTACTTACGTAAAACTTAAATTTACGCCGCGTTCCAGAGAGGGACATAAAAAGCTTCTCTTTTGGTGAATAATTTGTTGTTACTGCTTTAAAAATAATTTCATTTACTTAAAACTATATATTTATGAAAGTATTTCTCAGAAAAATTTTTCTAGTATAGCAGAATGTAAGAAATAAGGAGAAAAAGCTCCCCAAAACTCTAAGTATGGCTTATTCTGTCAACTAATATTCATGGGAAAGTCCTATTTTAAAGAAATTTTCTGACAAAATGTGTTTTGGAGACTCAATCCACTCAGAAAATTTCATTATT